ATGGGCAGGCAGGCGGGTGCCCTCATCTATAGATGTGCAGACAGGTAGGTGCCTCCAGGCCCTTGTCTACAGACAGGCAGGCCGGTGGGTGCCTCCAGCACCCCCCCCCACAGCCAGTCAGGCACTGTGCCAGCCCCTTGTCACTGGACCCGATTCTCCTGGTGACTGTAAGGTCACCTATGGGGGCCAGGAATGTGTCTTGTACTGTCCTTCCTCACCTCTTCTTGCCAGCATAGTCCTAAAACTTGTCTGCCCATAGCAAAGAAGACACGTTGCTTTCTTGAATGTGTTCTTCGGCTCTACTGTTGCCCCCGGTGGCTGATGGCTGCAGCGACTTTTCTCAAATGTTATGTCATATTTAACAGTTTTGTGTTTTAAACAAAGCTCATGGAAAAAGACTTTTACAAAGACATAGAGAAGATCAAGACCATCGGGAGCACCTACATGGCTGCTGTGGGGCTAGCGCCCACCTCAGGGGCCAAGGTGAGTACAGCCTGGGGCTGCCTGCTTGGGGACTAGGCCCCAGCCCTGCTCCAAACTGCTCTGGGGCCCTGGGTGGGTTCCTATACTGGGGTTTGGATAACGGGAGCAGCTTGAGTGCTGTTTTTGTCTGTTACTGGCTCACTCCAGACACAATCTCCTGGGAAAGTCAGCACTGAAGCCTGCTCACAGGAACTTCCTTCAGCCCTGGCTCTGCCCTGTTAGACATCTCACCCCAGAACCCTCCCCCTGCCCCAGTTCCATTCCCTTCCCCACCAGCCTACCTCCCCAGCAGCCCCACCTTCCTCCCCACCTGCCCCTCTCTTCCCTCGCATCAGCACTGCACTCTCCTTTTCCACAGTAGAACTGTGAATAATTACAAATAATTATTCTGAGTAGATCTAGATTTATTAAAGAAGGTGAATTGATAATTAATAATCTTCTGAAACAGAAAGCACCAGATCCAGATGCATACACTGGTGAATTCTACCAAACATTTAAGAAAGAAATGACACCAGTTCTCTATAATTGCTTCCAGAAGACAGAAGCAGAAGGACCACTTTCTAACTCATTCTGTAGGCCAGCATTACCCTAATACCAAACCCAGACAAAGATATAGAAAAATAAAATTACAGACCAATGTTTCTCATGAATACAGACGTACAAGCTCCCAACAAATATTAGCACACTGAATTCGATAATGATTGAAGAGAATTATACACTAAAACCAAGTTGGATTTTTTTCCAGATATACATGGCTGTTTCAGTATTCCAAAATGAATTCGTGAAATTCATCAAATCAACAAGATAGAGAAGACAAATTATATAATCATATCAATTGATGCAGAAAAATTATTTAAGTCTAATACCCATTCCTGGTTTTTTAAAAAAAACTTTGAAGAAACTAGCAATAGAAGAAAACTTCCTCAATTTGATTTTTAAAAATTTGCAAAAACCTACAGCTTAACATACCTAATGGAGGGAAACTAAATGCTTCTCCTAAGATGGGAAGCATGGCGAAAATATCCTCTCTCACCCTTTCTATTCAACATTATTCTGGAAGGCAGTAAGACAAGAAAGAATATAGAAGACATACAGACTGGGAAGGAATCTGCTTGCAGATGACATGACAGTATATGTAGAAAATCAAAAAGAATTAATAACAAAAATAACAGAAAAAAGTCCCTGGAACTAAGAAGTGATTATAGTAAGGTTCCAGGATATAAAGTTAGTATATAAAAGTTCATTGTTTCTCCATATGCCATCAGTGAACAATTGGAATTTGCAATTATAAACAAAATGCCATTTATATTAGTAGCCAAAAAATGAAATACTAGGTATAGCTCTAACAAAATATTTACAAGATCTATATGAGCAGAAGTATAACATTCTGATGTAAGAAATCAAAGGTCTCAGTCATTGGGAGTCATGTTCCTGCGTAGGAAGAGTCAGTATCATTCAGATGCCACTTCTTCCTAATTTGATTTGTAGATTTAACACAAGTCCAATCGGAACTCCACCAGGATATTTTGTGACATTGACAAAATGATCCTAAGTTTATGTGGAAAGTAAAAAGACACAGAACAGTCAACACAATATTGAAGCAGAAGAACAAAGCTAGAGGACTGACACTACCCAACTTCAGGACTTATAAAGCTGTAGTAATCAAGACAGTGTGACACTGGCAAAAGAATAGGCAATAGATAAGAGCATCAGACAAGAGAGCCCAGAAATAGACCCACAGAAATATGTTCAACTGGTTTTTGACAGAGAAGCAGAGGCAATACCATGGAGGAAAGATAGTCTTTTCAGCAAACGGTGCTGAAACAACTGTATATCCACATGCAAAAAAAAAAAAGAAGTATAGATACAGACTTTAACCTCCGCACGAAAATTAACTCAAAATAGACAATAAGCATAAATGTAAAATGCAAAACCATAAAACTTTCAGAAGTTAACATAGGAGAAAAATCTAGATGACCTTGAGCCTGGCAATGACTTTTTCAGTACAACACTAAAAGCATGATTCATCAAAGAAAAAATTGGTGAGTTGAACTTCATGAAAATTTAAAACTCCTACTCTGAAAAATATTGTCAAAAGCATGAAAAGTCAAGTCATAGATTAGGAGAACATCTTTGCAAACCACCTGTCTGATAAGGGACTCGTATCTATAGTACTCAAAGCACCTTTACAATTCAACAAGAAAGAACAGTTAAAAAGTGGGCAAACAATTGAAGCCCACACCTCACCAAAAGAGAGGCAGATGACAGATAGGCATGTGAGAGAATGTTCAGCATCGCATGTTTTAGGGATTTGCAAATGAAAACAGCAATAAAATACCACTAGATATCTGTCAGAATAGCTGGAATCCAAAACACTGACGAGACAAAAACCAGTGAGGGTATGGAGCAACAGAAATTCTCCTTCACTGCTGGTCGGAATGAAATATGGGACAGCTACTGTGAAAGAGAGTTTGGTGGTTTCTTACAAAGTTGGATAATGTTACTATATGACACAGCAATTGCACTTTTTTGTAATTTCCAAACGAGATTAGACCTTATGTCCGTGAGCTTCATTCATAATAAAAGCTGGAAGCAAACTAGGTATCCTTCAGTAGGTGAATGAATAAAGAAATTCTGGTATATCCATAAGGTAGAATATTATTGAGTGAGAAGAAATGAACTATCAAATTATGAAAAGACATGGAGAAACCTAAATACACGTTGCTACATTAAAACAGTCTGAAAAGGTTACATACTGTATGATTCCAACTATATGAAATTCTGGAAAAGGCAAAACTGTAGAAACAGTAGAAGTGTTAGCTGTTACTGAGGGTCGGGAGAGGGGCGGGATGAACAGAGAGCAGGGAGGATTTTCAGGGCAGTGAACCACCTGTAATACTGTCATGGCGGATACATGTCATGCATTTAGAATGCACAGAATGGACAACACCAAAATAGTGACGCCTAATTAAATTACATCTTTTGGTTAATAATAATATACCAATATTGATTCATCAGTTGTAGCAAATGTGTCACACTTAAGTAAGACGTTAACTATGGGGGAAACTCTGGGAAGAAGGCATATATGGCAACTCTCTATTATCTGCTCAACTTACCTGTAAACCTAAAATTGCCCTAAAAATAAAGTCTGTTAATTTTTAAAAAGCATTAGTTTCCTGATTGTGAGGACTAATAAAATTCCCTTTAAAAATAAAAATTAGAAACCTTACAACTGTCACTGTTTTACAAGAGAAAGTACCTTGTCACACACGTACAGGATGATACAGCCTCAATCTCAAGGAAGGAAGTTGCCGACTCCCTGGCATGCATCTCTGTCCTTGTTTTGCTCATTTGCCATGGGCAGTGGCAACGCTGTCCAAGCTGGAGTTTGAACACTGGGTCTCCCACTGGAAAGGGTCACCCCACCCTACTCCAGCAGGCAGTCTTGGGTGGGCCCTGTTTCTGCCTCTCAGGAGCTAGGGCTTGGCCAATACTCTGCCTCTCCCTTAGTCTCCTGCCTGTAGAATGGAATGATACATGTGCCTGTAGCCAGGCACCCAGAGAGCCTGCACCTGAGAGTGCGGCTGTTGACCACTGCAGGTTGGTCCTTGGCCCCCTCTTGCCTTGCGCCGTCCAGATGTAATGACCCCGTCTGTTCATGCCTAGGCTAAGAAGTCCATCTCCTCCCACCTGAGCACACTGGCGGACTTTGCCATTGAGATGTTTGACGTTCTGGATGAAATCAACTACCAGTCTTACAACGACTTTGTCCTCCGAGTTGGTACGTGGCTCTAAACCTATCCTGTCCATCCATGTGGAACACCCTTCCTGCACCTGCCTCGGGGTGAGATCAGCTGATGAGGTGCCCTGGTCTTACAGGAAGGAGGGTGGTGCCACCCAGGAGGGCATGGGACCTGTGTACCGAGTTGCCCCTGGAAGTGCTGGTGGAAGTGAAGATGCTTCAGAAAATGATGTAGGACTTTGAAGATTCATTGTCTAGCTCAGGAAACATACTAGAAATCTTGATTGTCCTGGAGACGTTCAGATGCTCCTCTGAGTCCACACTTAGCTGAAGGAAAATGCCCCTTTCTCTGTTCAACAGCCATGGCTACATAGTTGAGGCCCCATGGGCTGTCCAGAAAAAGGCCTTGATGGGAGCCCCACTGCGCTCCTGGGCACCTTTATTTACCTGTGTCATGAGGAGGAAAAACCACTGGATGCCCAGTTCCTTTCTAGCTTTTATAAAACTGTGATTTGTTGGTTTTTTTAAAATCCTAAATTCACTTTTTCTTGAGAGGTAGACAGTTTACCAGAAAAAAATTTCTACTAGTCCAGGATACAGTTAAACTAGAGATTTGTTTTAGAATTCAAACATGCAGTAGCCTTAAAAACAAACCTTGGAGCTGCATATCAGTGTGAAGGGTGGCGAGTGATCCACTTAGAGTCGTGGAGTTCTGATGTCCCGAAAAGCAAGCTCGGCTTCAGGTGTGGTGTCTGGCCAGAGGGCAGGGGCAGAGCGATAGCTGGGCCCTGGGCTCTGGTCAGCAGAGCTCCTGATGTGCCTGGAAATCGATCTGATGGTGGGTTGGAGAAATTCTACTCCTCACTTTCCCACAACAGGACCAGGCAAGCCTGGCCCTGCGCCTCAGTGCCTGGTCATGCGGTGGGGCTGGACCAAGGTCTCTAAGGGCCCTTCTCCCCATCAGGCTGGTGCTAGCCCAGTCTTCTTTATGTGGGTGGGGTGCCTGGGGTTAACGGGGGGCTTCCTGACTCCCACCAGCTGTAGCTATCTGGAAAGTGGCCCTTTGGGTTTCCTCTCTGAGTTTCCCATGCTCGCCTGCCCCAGCTCACACCACTGTGTGCCCTGCTCCCATGCTTCTCCCATGCCTTGCCAGCCCTGCCCCCTGTGCCCTGCCCAGGAGATCAGAGGAATTTACTAGGACAAATTCAGAAAAGTTAGTCCTCAAGTATGGAAGGGGGAGATAGGAAGTGGCTTCGGCCAAGGCCAGAGAGCCTCAGTTGCAGGAGGTGGCTGCCACCGGCCACCTCTCACGGGAGAGCTGACAGCATGCTTGGCCCCCCTGCTCTCCTTCTGAGGATGGGCGGGGCATCGCAGCCTGGTGTGTGCCCTACTTACGGGGGAGGGAGACCAGGCTCAGAGAGGGTGAGCACTTTGCAGAAAGTTGCACAAGGTGTGACTGGAGCGTGGGTGTGGCTGGGTTGTTGTGATGCTGTTCAGCTGGTCTGCAGCTGTCCAGAGGCCAGTTGGACACTGAGTTGCAAAAGGAGAAGGTACCCTGTCCCCTCCCTTCAGAGCATTCTGTACGGTCTTGCTTAGTTCTGAGACCCATGCTCTAAAATAGCCATAGGGTCACATTCTGAGAAAAGGTCCAACGCTGCTATTTTTCTGGAAGAGAGGATGCACTTGGGGACACACCCTGTAATCACAGAGACTGAAAGGCTATACTTCTGAGTGGCTCCCTTGGCAAGGCTCCGCACAGAGGCTGCTGTTCCAGGAAAGGTGACTTTTCTCCAGGATCAGGACTCGTTTTGAACAGCCAGTGCTATTCCCCAGTGCAGTGGGCAGTGTCATGACGGGACCCTGCCCGGGGGAGACTGTGCAGCAGGGCAGCTGCCTCTCTGCGGTGCTGTGTGTGATGCTTCAGGAAGGAGCCTGGTGCTAGGAGACCCCAGGAAACAAGGCCCTGAAAGGAGCAGCTTTTCTCCAGGAGCAGCATCAGGTGCATTTGGTGGATCTGGTGGGATGAGTTACAGTTTTCCCACTGATGACAGGTTGTGCGGGGGCTGTTTTCTAGGCATCAACGTTGGGCCGGTGGTGGCTGGAGTGATTGGCGCTCGAAGGCCCCAGTACGACATCTGGGGAAACACAGTCAACGTGGCCAGTCGGATGGACAGCACAGGGGTCCAGGGCAGAATCCAGGTCAGTTCACCCAGAAACCCCCAAGGCATGGGTGCCCATTCTTCAGGTGAGGAAACTGAGGCACAGGGGGCCAGGATTGAATCCCTACTCTGCAGCCCGTAAGTAGCAGGGCAGAAAGAGCTGCATATTTCGGTCTGTCTGCTCTGGAGGCATTCTGGCCCGTGCATACTGAGCTTGCTGTTTGGTTTGTCATTTAGCCTTGAGGGCTGGCTCCTGAGTGGCCAGGTGCAGCAGTGGAACACTGAGTCACTGGGTCCCGCTGCTGGTCCCAGCAGCTTGGCAACTGTCATTCACCCTGCACGTCCCAGGTTTCCGGCCCCTGCCTGGCTGCCATAAGAAGGAAGGGCTTTCATGTGTGTTTGAAAGGTGCTGTGTGTGTCCACCTCATCTTAGGAACTTGTGGGTAGGTCAGGTGGGCTGACACCCTCTAAAAGCCATGGAAAGGTTTAGAAGGCAGCGGCCTCTGCTTTTCCTCAGTGTGGAGGAGTGTGGTCTGGCTTCTGGGATTTCCCTTAAAACAAACCTGAAACTTGATTCGGGCCTGATGACCACCAGGATGAAGCCCCCACAAGTAAGATAGAGCCTATGAGGGGCCACTCAGCCCTGCAGCCACCTCCCTGAGAACTGCAGGTCTCCACAGGCCATGGAGGGAAGGCTTGTTCCCCAGGCACATGACAGCAGCTATTCATGGGGGGCAGTTTAAGGGACAAGTAGGTCAAAATATTCATTGGGGCTCTCCTCTCCTGCTCAGAACATAGACGGGGCTTCCGTGGAGCAGGTCTGCACTTCTGCTTTATCTTTGTTAAAGTTTTTTTTTTTTTATTTTAAATTTCTTGTATCACGGTAAGGTATACATGGAATTTGTCATCTTTCTTTTTAGGTGTAGGGTTGAGTGGCATTAAGTATATTTACGTGGCTGTGCCGCCATCATCACCGTCCACCTCCAGAACTTTGTGCTGTATATTTTTTTTTACCATGACTGTATCCTGCGCTTTTCTGCAGGATTCTCCCAAAACCGGACTCTCCAGGGGAGAACTTCGTAAGAGCCCCATTCTGTCCACCCGAGCCTGGCCCCTGCCCTGCACCAGCATTTTTAAGTTTCTAAAATCAGATCTGAACCCGCCACTGTTCTATCCTGCCCCTGCCCCACGCACAGGCTGTTCACTGGTGGCCTCTGACTAACCCCCTGCCAGGTGTCTCCTGGCTGCCTGGAATGTGTCACCCTTGCACTCACAGGGCCTCTGTCCTCCCTCCCCTGCCTGGGCTTCCTAGCAGCCCTGCCATGCTGATGGGGGCCACCCTCCGCAGCTCTGGGCATTAGAAGATGGGCTTGGCATGGATTGAGCTCTTTTAATGAAAGATGCCAGGGTTTTGATGACTGTTTGTAGGAGGGGGAAGAGCAGCCAGGGAGACAGGGAGGAAGAGAGGAAGCTCCAAGATCATTCCTCCAACATGACGCAGAGACACCGATCGTGTTCTCTGTTCACAGGACTGATTGTATCTAGTAGAAAGTATTTCCTCATTCTTTATCTTTTTTCTAACTTTGCGAAACGTAAATTCTTTGAGCTAAAATCCTGGTTGTTAACTTGTCAAGAAACGTCCCTGTTTTCTGTGGGCAGTTTTCCTGCCGCCCTCCATATGCTGGTTCCTCCCTCCCCTGACCCAGGGTTGCAGAGGCAGCTGTGCTAGCATTCTGTGAACTGGCTGGTCTGCACCCCCACTGACACCACACCGCTGCCCCCAGAAGTTAGTTGGAAGTCTAGCTTTGTCCTAGACCCTACTCTTTGCTGTCCCTTCCAGCTGAGGGGGTAACCTTCTGCCCCCTACACTCTGTATGCCCCACTGTAAACATCTAGAGCCCTGAACCCAGAGAGCCAATTCTGGTCTTCTCTGTTCCAGCAACTGGAGCTGGGTGCCATGCAGCCTCTGGCATGGAGTGCATGGAACCACCATGGAAGCTCACACCCAGACCTGGTACCAGGTCCCTGTAAGCTCTGCCCACCTGCCTGCCTGTCTGGGTGCTCCTTGGGCCACCCTTCTCGGCTCAGTGAACATTGCCTCCTCCAATTGTCCAGGAAACAGGCAGCGAGTCTCCTCTGGAGCTGGCCCCTTAGACTCCTCTGAGTCCCCTGGTTTGCAGGGCTGTGTCTTTTTTACATAGTGACCCGAGCGATTTCAGCAAGAGATGGGGCCTTGGCTGCCAGGCTGAGTTGGGAAAGCCGCATCCCAGTGCCAGGGTTGGGCGGTCAGGGTGAACAGCGACAGATGCAGGATGGAATGTTCTGGTCTCTTTCCAGAGGAGTCCCCCTCATTGCCCTGGAGTAACACTCACTTCTCTCCATCAACAGGTGACTGAGGAAGTCCACCGGCTGCTGAGAAGGTGCCCCTACCACTTTGTGTGCCGAGGCAAAGTCAGTGTCAAGGGCAAAGGCGAGATGCTGACATACTTTCTAGAAGGCAGGACTGATGGAAACGGCTCCCAAATCAGGTCCCTGGGCTTGGAGCGGAAAATATATCCATATGGTAGAGCTGGCCTTCAGGGCAGACGACCTCCAGTGTGCCCCATGCCTGGAGTTTCACTCAGGGCTGGGCTCCCTCCACACCCCCAGGGCCAGTACCTGCCTTCTGCAGCAGCTGGGAAGGAGGCTTAGTGGAGCCCACGTGGGCCTCTGGGGTGCACACAGGGTGAGAATGCTCCGGGGGTGACACTGGCCACGGTGGCTCCAGCCAGGACCAGCAAGACCAGCAGAGCAGGGAGCCAGTGGCCAGGGTGGAGGCGGAGCATTGTCCAGGCGTGGCCTGTGGCCCGAGGGCCAACCACCCAGCAGACGCAGCACAGCAGTGACTCGGGGAGGGGAGGACACCCAACCGCGCACACTTTTAGGCCTCACTGGAGAGGTGCCCACTCCATCCTCCCCTCCGTGGCATAGGGAGCACTGTTACTTTCCAGCAGGCCTGTTCAGGTTTGGCCAGGTTAGCATCAACATCAAGACCTTCAGAGCATCCACCAGGGTTACAGCAAGAGCCACTGAAGTGTGGCTGGCAGAGCAACTGAGGAGCTCCCTGAGAGTGTGGCCTGAGGCAGCCCTGTCCACCCAGCCGTGGTGGGACCTGACATACAGGCAGCTCCAGGCCTGGGCAGCAGCTTCAAGAGCCAGAGTGGGAAGTCAGGCCTCTCTGGGAAGGTCACAAGTGCTGGCACAGCACAGAGCTGTCCACTCTTGGACTGGACAGTTTGGGAAGAATTGGGAAGCTGCCTCTCACTGCATGGATAGTGGTGGCTGCTGGCTTTCAACTGTGGTTTTTTGCTAAGAGCCAGAGGCAGGTCTTCTGGAGTTCTCAGGGGGCCCTGCGACCCCCTCTCCACAACCAAGGCCAGCATCGGCTTGCTGCACCTGTGCATTCTCCACCCCTCCGCCGATGGCTTCCAGCTCCTAAAACACCTGGACATTCCCCATCCTGCGTCGGCACTGTGCTTGTTCAGAGAAGACGAAATGTGTCATTCCTTCCTTTCCTTGTGGCGCCTTGGATCCTTTACATTTATCCGCAGTGTGAGGCTCCACTTATTTTGAATATGAGCGGCCCTCACACCCATCAGCAAGTTTCCTTGATGGAAGATGCTGTGTCTCCGGCAGAATCAACCCTCCAGGACGAAGTTTCAGAATTGGCCGACGGTCGTGAGTGCAGGTGTCTCTGTTGTAATTTGCAGGGAAATTGACTGCAGGTGATAGTGTTGACGTCTGACAACCTCCCACGTGCATGTCTAAATAGTCACAATGAAGATGAAGTTGAGAATGAGGGGACAGGGGTCCAGTAGGGCCAATGGCGAGGGACTACAGAAATAGCGAGGAGAGGTCTGGCGTGTGGAGACCTTGGATCTCGGTCACAGGGAGGAAGGTGACTAGAGACAGGAGGGAAGCTTCTGGATAGGCACTGTAGTGGGGAACGTCCAAAGACCCACCACTCTGAGATGTGGTCAGAGAGGTTTCTTTGGACTGCACGTGAGGCCTGAGCCCTGCCTCTGCTCAAAGCCAGCAGGCTTGGGGGTCTCCCTCCTCACTGCTCCTCAACAGCTGTAACCCCTTCCTGAGGGCCACAACTTTTCAGAAAAGGAGCAGAGAGAAGCCCAGACTTCTTTCCCTGGAGTGTAGACCTGTGTGTGGGACCTGTTCCAGGCTGATCCCTGTCTGCGCAGGTGGGTGATGTCCTTGGGTGCTGCCATTATTGTGTGTCAGAGGCGGCCTCCTGCACAGGAAGAGCCTGACCCTGTCTCAGCTGTGTGGCCATGCGGGGGCACTGGGGCCTGGGCCATAGCTGGGGGAAGCCAGGCCCTGGGGCTTTGCAGGGCAGCCAGTGCAGTGATGCCTGGTGGCCCCAGCTGAGACACGAGTCTGGACAGAGGTGAGCAGGGTGGTTTGCTTTGGGCAGGGGAGGTGGTTAGAGACTGTGTGCAGGGTCCCGTCTGCCTGTCCTGAGGGTGTGGACTAGGTGTCTAGACGGGGTTGTAGGGAGCACTGTCCGCCCTCCTTTCTCTCTGGTCAGGGCTGTGGCCTCTGTGATGGTGCAAGAGAAGGGATGGTCTTCAGGCACCTTCCTGCAGAGTGATTTTGACCAATGCCTTTCTAGCACCTTCCCCTGGCTATGACTGGGAGCTCCCGGGCCACGCCAGATGACCCCACAGGCTGGCTGACCCCGTGGCCCCACTGGAGACTTTGAGGGCGAAGGCCGGGCAGCTTTCACCTTCCTTGGGTGGTCCTCATGCCGCCTCCACTCACGCCCCTGGTGTTCTGGCATCACCTTGTGCCAGTGGGGGCTGGGCTCCCATGAGCTCCTAGGGCAGAAGGAGAGGGTTGCAGGACCTCTTGCTGTTGTTGGGGCATCCCCAGGAGCTTATGTTCATGTGGAACCTCCAGGCTGCCACCGAGGGCTTCTGAGGGCTCGTGGGCTCACCCTGAGGATTCAGGGTTGGTCTGAGCCGGCTGTGGGCTGAGAACCTGGCTGGGGCCCTGCTGTGAACCCCTCCTCCAGGCCCTGCCTTGTCCCTGCTCCTGTGCTTTCCTTTCTTCTGGACAAATGATTTGTCCTTATGGTCCCCTTTCCACTAGGATTTTCTCATCCATCCACCTGTCTATCCCAGCCGGATTTGAAGCAGTCAGTTCAGACAGGAGCCACAGGGAGCCCGTAAGGGCATAGTGTGGTGGCAGAGAGTGTGGCTGCCCTGGATCCCCCAGCTCGTCGCGGTGCTGTCCTTGACCCATGAGCTGTTGAGAAAGGTGCAGAGCCCCTGACACAGCCTGGCTTTCCTCAATCCTGTTGCCCCCACTGCTGCTGCCTACCTTGGGCCATCCAGGTGGTGGGCAGACAGAGGAGTGGTCCCCAAAGCTGCCCATGCCCCAGTTCTAAGCCCTGTGGCCAGGGCTCAGTCACACAACAAAGGTGACTTTGCAAGTGGAATTACTGTTAGGGATCTAAGGATGGGAGGAGAACTTGGATTATCTAGGTAGGCTCAGTGCAGTCACATGGCCCCTTGAAATGGCCAAGGGAGGCAGGAGAGCCAGGAAAGATTTGAAGTGTGACAGAGACAGTTCCATCACTGCTGGCTTAAAGACAAGGGCCCGGGAGCCAACACCAGAGGCCACTTGGCAACCCCGGCCCCAGTCAGCAAGGAAGCCGGGTGTCGCTCACACAACCAGATGGGACTGAGTTTGGCAACAACCCAAGTGAGCCCGAAGCAGATTTGCCCCAGAGCCTCCAGGCCTGAGCAGAGCCCACCCGGTGACACCTTGGTTTGGCCTATGAGACTGAGCAGAGAGCCAGCCACGCTGTGCTGTGCTGGGATCCACAGAGTGGGGAGGTCACACATGTGCATCCTGGAAGCTGCCCAAGGTGTGGCCACGTGTAGGGCAGCAGGAGGAAGCCGTCGCAGGACCATGCTGCCTTCTTTGGGCTCACGACTGTTCTGGAAAGGACCCCATGGCAGGCTTGGCAAGGTCTCCACTTCAGGGGCAAACATCTCCATCATCAGCAACTCCAAATCCCAGCCACTTCCTGGGAGTTCAGGAACTGTGTTTAGCCATAATGTTCCTTGGGGTTTGGTAAAAAACAACTTCCTTTTTATTTGTGAGAAAACTGTATTATATTGCCTTATTTATTTTTAATTGTGTACAATATTCATGTACAAACGTTAGAGCCATTCGGGTAGAATTCTCTAAATTATTTATTGAAGAGGCTTTGTAAATAGTGCACCAGTTCCAGGTGCTGCCTGTTTACTCGTACCAAAAATGAAGACAAGCCCCACACCCACCTCAGCCCCCGCTTGGCCATGCTGTGGCCCTTTGGAAATGACCCTGTGTGCTCCCCTTGCAACCCTTGCATGCCTTTCATGCCTGATGCCGTAGAGTAGAACACAGCCCCGGAATGCTTCCAGTCGCTTGCAGGGACCATGCCGGCCCAGATGGTCCACACCTGCGGGGTGTCTATCCTGCAGGTGGGCGCCCCCACAGACCCAGCAACCCAAGTTGCCAGTCCGTGTTTCTCAGACTTTGAAGCCACCAAGGCTTCTAGAACACCTGTCATAGAAGCAATAACTCTGTACTGTACAGACGAGTCTGGTCTGAAGCAGATTGGTAGTTTAGAGATAAACCATGCATACAAGTTTGCCCCATTCTCTGGCTTGGGGTGGTGAGGGGCGGGGAGCTGCCACTCCCAAAGCCCCCACCCCTTCCCAAAGCCCAGTTCTGACACCGCAGTTCCTGTGGGTTGGGCTGCCCTGGCTGGTCAGAGCTCAGCACCCAGGTCTGGTGGGCAGACAGAGCCGGCATTAAACCCCGGCAGGTCATTGTCACTACACCCTTGCTTGGATGAGGAAGAAAGGAAGCAAAGGCACTCACCCCATCCAAGATCTGTTCGATTGATGGCCTCAGTACTCACACTGACAAATGGTGGTATGCTGCACGGTTTGTTGGTGCACAGCCTAAAGGATAACATATCAAGGCTTACCTGTGGAACGCCATTTTAAGGAAAAGGTGGCACTCTGAAGCCTGTCCCCATTCACCTTCCACAACGCTGGTACCATTCTGGCAGAAGAGCCCTCTGGACAGGACACCTGTTCAGACCCAAGGGCCCCATGCTGGGCTTGCCTGGGTGTGAGAAGGTCAAACTGGGTGGCTTAGGCCTTCAGATTGAGCTTGGCGGTGACCAAGAGAAGGTTCTTATTCAAAGAGCTCACCTACCCCAAATAACCATCGGTACACAAATCATTCCATGGTCTTTGGCCCCAGGCAGGAGATGCTGCAGGCAGGTGTCCATACTTGGCAAAATGGGCATTAAGGGGAATGGAGTTGCTTCAACTTTTCTCGGTCCCGGCCCTCACTCCACCCACCAAGTCCAGCAGAGCCAGGTGGGCTGAGACAAGTGACCAAGCTGGACTGAGCCTTGGGGGAGGGCCTGGAGCCAAGGAGCCTCCCTGGGTAGGGGCATCAGGAGCAAGGGCAGGGCCTGAGGACTGCTCCCCCTGCATAGTGGGCAGGTGGGGATGGAGCCCAGGGTAGACCTTGAGGAAGGCTGAGTAGGCTCAGCAGAAGTAATTCTCTTCCCAGAGTTGTAGTTTTTCCACAGATGGATTTGGGTGATTTGAGGGTGGTCAGGCTCTGCTGTTGGGGGGATGAATGCCAACAGGGCATTTGGAAGCTGTAGTGTCTGTGATTCTGTGTGAACTGACAGCAAGGAGCTGAAGGGCAGGCCCAGCACTTGGGAGAGAGCACGGGCATGGTCTGCTAGATGCAGGGCTTCCAGGGCTGTGAAGGCAGAGGGGTCCCTGGAGGCGGACGGGGCAGGCTGGGGGCCAGCAGCAGGTGGCAGGGCCCCAGGCAGGGTGGCTGCTTCCTGCACATAGACATTCCTCTGGCACAGGGCCAAGTGCCCATGAGCACAGCCCCAGACAGACACACGGTGGGGAGCCAGGAACTCTCCACTCACCTAGGGGAGCCCTGGGGCACACACTGGAAAGTATTCGAGGGGCTTCCTACCTTATTCTTCTGTTTGTTCACACACTTAGCGAAAGCAGATTCTGTGCTAGAATGTGAGGAAATCCGTCACCTCCTTGGTCCATTCCATAAAATGAAATTCACTTTCAGGTGCCACACATTTTGGGGCTAGACCTCCCTAAACAACATGCCATTGTGACATGATGCATATATTTGTATCTTTAAATTTCTCTGAAAATTTAATCTCTTCTGTTCCATAAGCAGTCTGTTCACTACCTTAAAAAACAGATACTCCACTAGAGGCTGTGCTTAATTCAAATCCATGTGTATGCCTGTTAACATGTGTGAACACGTGTTCCTGTCATGTGTGTCATGCACATCTGTGTGTTGCTCAGCATAAGCCAAATGAAAATTAATCATTTGTTCATGGGATTCATATGGGGAACAAAATTAAATTTGAATACAGCCAGATAGCCACCACACAGGGCATTTAGGGAAACAGTCCCCGAGTGCCCTGACTTGATTTCCCTTAGAAAATCCTTGTTATCAGAGGAGAAGGTGTGGGCAGGGGCAGCAGCACCTCAGACATTGAGTCAACTTTATCATCTACGACATCAGCACTGAAGTCCAGGGACACTGAGGCACTAACTAGGTTCCATTTTCTTTGGTTTGGTTGGTTATTTTGTGTGTCGGAGGCCGGAGGGTCTTGGTTTGCACAGAAGCCTGTAGAGAGAGCCTCAGGGCAGTGCCAGCTATAGGAATTTGGTCCTCCAGCTCCCCTCTAGTTCCTGGGAGCCAATTTGGAGTGTGCATCAGTGTCAGTCTCTCAGATGTGCAGTGGAGGAGCAACAATAGACAGGTGGCCTTCTTGGGTTGTGCTTCACAATGGACTTTCTGTTTGAAATGAGAAAATCAGGCTGGGTGTAGGGGCTCAAGCCTGTAATCCCAGCACTTTGGGAGGCCAAGGCAGGTGAATCATTGAGGTCAGGAGTTCAAGACCAGCCTAGTCACCATGGAGAGACTCTGTCTCTACTAAAAATAAAAGAAAAAAGTTAGCCAGGCCTGGTGGTCGGAGCCTGTAGTCCCACCTAAACAGGAGGTTAAGGTGGAAGAATTTCTTGAACCTGGGAGGCAGAGGTTGCAAGTGAGCTGACATCACGCCATTGCACTCCAGCCTGGGTGACAGAGCAAAAAAAAAAAAAGAAATTAGAAAATTGACCATAGTGGCAGCCACCTGGCCTAATGCTGTGTCTTTTGTACCTCACAGGGGTCACTTATTTTAGGTACAACTCCTTTGTTCTTTGTGAAATCAGTGAGTTTCCTTCTGCACGTCACTAGATTCAATATGTTCTATTGCTACACCGGTAACCACAGGGGAAAGGCACTTGTTGCCCACCTGCCTGGCTACAACCATCTCCATGGGCCTTTTGCTGTGACCACAAATAAAGGAAACACTCCTCACTAGTATCCAAGTCCAGCTTTACAGTAACTGGGCACCTTACGTGTGCTTCACATCAGTCTCCTTCGAACAGCCCGTGGTGGGAGGTGGTATTATACTCCTCATGTTGACAGTGAAGAATCTGAGCCCCAGAGAGGTTAGGGACTTGAGTAAAGTCACACAGCCCTGAGAGGCAGGACCAAGCTTCCACTCCTGCTCTGTCCAGTTCCAAGCCCTTGTTTTCCATTACGTTGAGTGCCTCTTTGCCAGCAGCAACATCTGCAACATTTATGTTGGTTTTGATGGATAACTAGTTCATCCACATGCAAGTGCCCAAGTGGTGGAGCGGCCACCTCAGCATGTGGGTTCTGAATGCAGCCAAGGCTGGCCCCCAGTGGACAGGACTCACTCTGACTGCCCGCCCTCAGAGCAGGTGCCTCAGTCCTCACTGGCACTGACACGCCTCATCTCACGTTGCTAAATTAAAGCAATGCAATGCCTCTTGGGTAAGAGGAATTCCTTCTCGTTTAACAACTGATCCTCAGCAAGGAAATAAAATATTAGGCTTAAAAAAATCCCTATTTTGTTATGTCAGGCTATATTCTAAAACTCTGTTGGAGCCAAACTGTCATTGTGTGTAATTTCAAATATGCAGAACCTCCTTAAACAAGGAGAGCCGTTACTGTCTTTTTCTGTTATGCCCCTCTGACATCAAATGGGGAGAAACGGTGGCACCCCCAGACACTCCCAAACTACACACCATTTCTTCCCTTAGACTGAGTCAACCCAGCTCCCAGTTTCTGGTCAGGAGTTCTGCGAGCTATGGGAAGGCCATTGGTTGAATTCACCACTTTTACTCTGTCTTCCTCTGCTGTAGAGCCATTTAATGTTATTGTCATATGCTACTGGTGAGGTATAGGTGGGTCCAGGTGCCTTCCCAGGGGTTAGAGGATATTCAAAGGGCCGATTTCAGCAGAAGTGTTCAGAAGGCAAGAGAGGGCTTTATGATGGATGGTGAGAGATTTGACAACCACCAGAGCACGTGTGCCCCTGACACTCTCCTGGGCATTGGTTCCTCTCTCTCCTGCTGGTACCAGGCAGTTCAGACTTTCAGATAGGTTGCTTTCAAAAGAGCTTTCAGGCCCTTATTGAGAATTAATGTTTAAACAGAGATAATAGCCTAGACGAAGTCCCAAGACATCTATCAAATCTCGTGGGCTGAATAAGTACCTCGTGTGGGACTGTGCAACAGTTTCTCAGACTGTCCCGCCTATGGGCATCCACCTCCTGGGCGAGCACAGTGGGAAGCTGGCCTGATGGCAGCCAGAACTTATTTCTCACCTCCCACCAGCAACCCCCCCCACCCAACTCTGGGCCCCAGGCACATGAAGCACAAGTCTCAGGGGACAATTCCCACATTAGGGGATCCCGAGGGAGCCCATCGCCACCTCTTGCATACAACTGTCCACTAGGAGGCACACGCCCAGTGTGGGAGAGATGAGTGGTCTTGCCTTCATCCCTGTGAAAACTGCACCTATGCAAGCCATTTGCACTCTGGAACTGCATGCCGTGAAAACTCCTAATGGTATGGAACTTAGTTTGAGTTTGAAATCACGTTGCATGCACAAAGGGACAGACCCGGGCCCGCCCTCAGGTCATCCACCTGCTGGCTGCAGAGCATCCCCGGGAGCCATGGCGAGGCCCGTGGAGCCTGAGCTTGTGTAGCTTGTGCACTTATTATTCATCACCTCCCTTTAGTCACCACTCCTCTTCCTCCGCCATCCTCGTTTATGCCGATTGCACACCCCCCGAGCAAACAACAATATCCTTATGACCATCTCGTAGTGGTGGATTCCATTCCTGTTTAAGGTAAGCCCAAAGCCCACTTTGGGATTTTCTCTGCTGTCTGAGAAAAGTGTAAGCACCTATGTCTTTCTGGGTTAAGCTGGATAGGGTTGTGTCCCTCTATGGAACGGAGAGTGATGTGGGCAAGGGTGTCATTTTCTCACACAATACAACTCACCGAGGATGCTTCTGTAGAAGTGAGAAACACGATGACTACATTCAGAATTACAATAACTCACTCTCACTGGGTAACTTCTCATGATAGATTTGTATGATCAATACGGGTCTATTTTTATGTCAACTGAACACTGTAGAGTACCTTCCAGTCTTTTTCAAGATTGTTAAATTGAGACAAGTAATTGAATAATTTGTCCTATTTTTATTTTAAAAAAAGTGAATGGACTGAGATGTTAAATGTGAATGTACATTTCTTAATTGCAACTTTTCTACTGAGTGTTTGCACTATACTTTCTGGAATCTTATTTAACAAAAATAAAGGGAAAAAATTGCTTGACTAAACTCTGTGGCCATTTCAGTGGAAAAATAAATGGTTATATGGATGTTTTAAAGACACTCCTGCCTGTTTCACATACCTTCTGGTGGAAGTTTTATTATTCAAAGTATTAAATACTATGTGACCCCACGTAGACTAAACCCTGTTATGCCCCCATTACATACTGTTATTATTATTTGTAAACTGAGTCTGGCTCTGTCACCCAGGCTGGAGTGCAGTGGTGTGATCTCAGCTCACTATAACCTTCACCTCCCGGGTTCAAGCCGTTCTCTTGCCTCAGCCTCCGAGTAGCTGGGATTACAGTCGCATGCCACCATGCCCGGCTAATTTTTGCAGTTTCAGTAGAGACAGGGTTTCACCATGCTGGTTAGGCTGGTCTTCTGAGCTCAGGTGCTCAGGTGAGCTCAGGTGGTCTGAGCTCAGGTGATCTGCCCGCCTTGGCCTTCCAAAGTGCTAGGATTACAGGCATGAGCCACCACTCCTGACCCATTACATGCTATTCACATCCAGTGTTTTACTCGTGTACCTTTTTGAAACTCACAGTTAAAGACATTTTAGATCATATTTAAAATGTAAGATAAACTCTTTATTTTACTAGCCCTTCTTGTATCTTAGAGTATCTTGCCGAGATAGTATTGTTTCCTTGGTCTCTTAGAAGTTACTCTAGCTCAGGATGCAGTAAGTTCATTTTACATTCATCTTTGTAAGACTTTGTAGAGCGTTTCACCTCATGTCGTAAAAGATAAAACTGATTACACAATCAGTTGATAATTGTTTTTTAAAGTTTGACAGTATCATCCCATTCAAGTTTAGTTGAATGGTGAAGATGGCTTCCATTGTTGTCATTGAAAAATCTTCTGTCAGGTTGTTTTTCCTTTGTGTGTTGTCCTGGGGTTCTTCAAAGAAACAGAACCAAGAAGGTATGTGTGTTGTCAGAAAGAGAAAGTGAGGGGTCAAAAACAAGACAAGAGAATTTATTTTAAGGAATTGGCTCACATGATCGTGGGGCTGGCAAGTCTGAAGTCTATAGGAAAGGCCAGCAGGCTGAAGACCCAGGGAGGAGGTAATGTTGCCACCGCGACCTGTTTTATCAGCAAGGCCTTTAAAACCATATTCTTTGCTGACCTCCTGTCTCATCCTGTGACTTAGAATGCCTTAACTGTTTGGGAATGCAGCCCAGTAGGTCTCACCCTCATTTTACCCAGCTCTTATTTAAGATGGAGTTGCTCTAGTTTAAATGCCTCTGACAATAACGGTGACAAAATGACAGTGAGGTCACACTTGGACACTGCTCCTGGGAATTCATACCTCATTAATGGAAACATAATAGGGACAATAAAGCATTCACATCCTTTAACAGTCAACTTCTGGATGCCATCTAACAAAATTGGTAGACACAAGGACAAGGTTTTGTTTTTTTTAAATGCAAAGGTTATCACTGTTTTATAATGAGGAAAAAATGGGAACTGCCCGAGACAGAATTTTAAAGATGCTCCTCTACATTCCATGTCCCCCATCTCCAGAAGCTGGGAGTGGATGAGACACTGCTGCTCCCAGCAGTGCGATGGGCTCTACGATCTGGCATGCTGGACCTCTCATGAACCCTTAAGCAGAGAACTGCTGCTGGCAGCAAGAGCAGCCAGTCAGAGGGATTCCAAACCTGAAAAGGTTTTGTTCAGTCCCCCATGCCTTGAAAATTGAGGTGGCCAGGTGATGAACAATGCAAGGGCCATTAGGCTCTGAGAGCAGAGCAGCCCCATCTGACAGCCAGTAAGGGAATAGGGAACAGACCTCAATCCTGCAACTGCAAGGAACTGGATCCTGCCAATCTGAGGAAGATGGAGATGGATTTCTGCCCAGATTCTCCAGGTAAGGAGCCACCGTCTCACCTGGAGAAAGCCCAGGCAGAGACCCAGCTGAGCCACCAGGACTGTGAGGTAATGAATGAATATTGTGAGTGCTGTTTATGGTCATTTGTTATGTTGCCATAGAAAATTAAAATGCAACAGAAACAAATACACTAAATTGATAGAAAGTAGTACACAATAGAAAATTGATAAACCAGTTAGATGATTTAAACACATAATGTAGATGTGTAATATAACGGAATGCTGGCAGTGCCCAGAAATCAGGTCTTTGAACCACACTTAGGTATAAGGGGGCAGAAGGGCTCAGGTGTTGTGTATAAATACGAAATTTATTTTAGGGAAAAAGGGTTTGATTTCAATAAAGATCAGAGTTTGTGGGCATTTTAAGTTGAATAGCAACTGTACCAAGAATGCATTTCCTTTCCACACAGGTTTCAAATCTGCATTTTCTGCAAAATATATGGGTTTACATACACAGTGAGAGTTGAGATCTTTTGTTGTTTTTTTGAAATGGAGTTTCACTCTTGTCATCCAGGTTGGAGTGCCATGGTGCCATCTCAGCTCACTGCAACCTCCACCTCCCAGGTTCAAGTGATTCTCCTGCCTCAGCCTCCTGAATAACTGGGATTATAGGCATGCACCACCACGCCTGGCTAATTTTTGTGTATTTAGTAGAGACGAGGTTTTACCATGTTGGCCAGGCTGGTCTCGAACTCCTGACCTCAGGTGATCCGCTCACCTTGGCCTCCAAAATTGCTGGGATTACAGGCATGAGCCACTGCACCTAGCCGAGTTTTTTTTAAAAATCCCAAGTAATTGCTGCAAGTTACATCACGCTGAAGCATGATGTACTTAAGTGACATTGTTGGTATCATTGCCAGGGCTATTGTTTATTATTTTCCTCAAACATGACCCTTAATTTAGAAATCTTGCCCTATGTCTAACCTAAGTGGGAAGCACCCGTTTCCCCATGTCCCTCAGTCTGAGAACAGGACTGTCTCCTTTTCCCAGTTTCTCATCATCTCCTGTCCCCTAGAGTTTGTAAAGCTTTAGAGTGCCAAACAGAGACTCAGTTCCATAGGTATGCCTAGGCACTGGGGCAGCAAGACTTGGTCTGTCTTTAGCTGCTTCCTGTAGGTATCTTCCCATGGATGGAACATGTGATATGCACTGTCTTATTGGTGAATTATCCAAGAGATTGCATTTTGCACACTTTAACTAGAGTACCTATGGATAACTGCATATACTCCAAGTGTGTAAAGACATAATAAGTACATTTTGTTAATACATAGAAGATGTAACATGAACATCTAAGAAATCATCTTACATGTGAAAACTTTCTTGAGTGCTGGTAATTCCCAATATTTCAAGAACACATTTTCCCAGAGTCACATTATTTTTCTTCCTCCCTGGACTAATTTTGAATTTGAATTTTATTCTTTGGCAAATGAGATAGAATTAACGTGACTATATGCCTGAATCACTGTGCATCAAACACAGACCTTGGGAATAGTTTGCATGATAATATTTTTAATAGTAAAGACTGGAAAGAATTACTCTGTAGTATTTATTGTGCGATTATAGCTTTTATTGTGTAGTATATGTTGTGCGATTACAGGCCGTTTTTCTGCTTCTTTATACTTTTTAATTTGAAAAATAAACGTTTTTTAAATCTGGTAATTTTGTAACCAAATAATAGTTTTAACAAAAGAAAAAAGTAAACTTTTTAAATAGCTTACACAGGAGGAACTAGTTCATAAAACTTAGAAATGTTTAAACACACTACACAGTAAATAAATTCTTATCACTCATATAGAACGTCCAATGAAATGTGAAGTTACTATCTAACTGCAGCCACTATATCTGATCCCTCCTGTGAAGGATCTCATTCTCTGTTGGAAACCTCCAAAGAAATGTGGGTGTTTCCAGGGAGGACCCAATTACTGATAGGGAATATTTTCCACCCACTCTGCAGATCTACAGTAAACTTTTCACCTGTCTCTTAAAACTGAACATACTAGACCTTGCATGCCCTTAGAATCTATCATGACCTATCTTTTAAGCCAGTATGAGATTTCATCTAGGGGTTGCCCATTTCGCTTTGACTCTAGATGCCAGCCTGCCTACCTGTCCACACACTTGAAGAGAGAGAGTGTAGGACTGGGCTGGAAATGTATGCATTCTTTTTAGAAAGAAAAAAGCAAACTTTTTAGAGTGGAGGATGCAAACATTTATATCAATAAACTCTAGCTCTGTGTACCATAACATGTCCACACACATGGGTCTTGCTGAGGCGTCTGTACTTGGGAGATTTGATGCCGGTTTTGTGTTAAACTGAAGCTACCTGGACAGCTCTTTCTTCTTCCTTACAATATGTATTACCTTCATGTTATTGATGACTTGGGTGGGACCCTGATGTGAGGCAGGGAGCACAGCACTGGAGAGGGAGAGTGTAGGGGATTAGCCTATGTAACTGCTGGAGGTTCAGTTCCTCTTGCCCTGCACACTAAACAATCACAGCCAGCATCCTTAGATTTCCAGAATGCCTTCCAGGTGAGAATCATGGTTTTAGGGCTTTCCTGGAGTGGCATTTCAGGCTCACCAGGACACCTACCCTGCCCCGGATACCAAGTGTGGTGACTCCTGGAGCTTTCCCAGCCATGCAGTGTGGGTGAGCTAGCTCCTGAGTTCCCCTGAGCTTCCTTGTCTTTATCTGCAAACATCCTAGGATCCCACAGTCTGGTTTCTTTTACAGCCTATTGGAGAAGGAGGTGGGTACCCTCCAGGGGTGGGACTGTGGGCACTCCCCTCCTCTCAAAACCTGGTCCCTCTTCCACATACAGTAAGGAAACATACATCCCTCACCATTGGTGCTCCGATGAAACTGCTGTGACCATAGGATTAGAAACCCACCATCCAGTGCAGAGGTTTTCTTTCCAGTTCCTGCCTCAGGTCTTGAATCCCGTTATCCCGAATATGCTCACAAGGCATTCTCCCAGCTCTTTCTTGAGGGTGATGCATGGCTATGGAGGCCCTCACCCAGACATCAGCACTACAGTCTACATCAGTCTGGGATGGGGTTTCCTCATGATTCAGGGAAGGAAACAGAAACTGAGGCTCCGACAAGCAGACCGTTGTCCTCAAGGCCACAGCTGGATAGTAGAAAGCCCAGGGCTCAAGTCATACATC